TTTATTTATAATTTCTTTCTGATTAAATGTATAAACACTCTAATTTTTTTTCTCTACTAGAGTTGGTTTTATATAAATTTTTTAATTTACTATCTTATTATTATTTTGATGAAATTTGAAATCTCTCTACGTATTATGATTAAGTTCTAGAAATTCTTTCAGGAATGCTTTTTTTATTTTATCCTACATAAGATGTTTCAATTTATTATTTATTCAATTGTTAATCTCCCTCATCATTTTTTTTCTGAATGTCGAAGTGTAAGTCGAGATAGTTTTATTACAATTTTAATTTATTTAATGAAATTTCCTAATTAAAATGAGATGAAATCGTTTATACCTCTTTTATTGTATCAATTCGAGAAATATACTATGGTTAGTACAAAGAAGAACGCAACCTATAAATTTAATAAAAGTCTAATTAAGTTCCCCTGCTGTCAACAAAGGTATCAATATTTACTCCACTATTTTAAAGTCCAGTTTCATCCCATATTGAGAATTCTTCATCTTCGCTGTTTACATCAGATTCATAGTTATCATAATTACTGTTGTTATTATTTACATATTCTTCTGTTTTTGATTTATTTTTTAAGAACTTTTAAAAATATTAATCACCTTATTTTAGTGATTACTGAGCTTTAAATATTTATTAAATTTTTTATATATCGCCAATTAGATTATTTTTTATGGTATTATTTTTATTGTTTGATGAAAAAGTATCTTTGTGTTAAAAACATTTATATGAATCAAGACATGTTTTTTTATTAGTCTTATTAAGAGATTAAGGTATATCTCTTAAGAATTAATTATTATTACTTTGAGATTTTTAGATCCTAAGCTAACATGTAGAAACTTTCTCTAGATTTGAAAAAGGATTTCCCTAAAAATATTATTCTTACTTCTTAGAATCATCTTAAGAGGAGTTTTAAGGTGAATAAAAATTATTGATAATACTGCAAGCCATATTAAAAAAATGAATATTCTTATTTACTTATTTATTATTTGGATTTAATGTTATATAAATTGTATTAATTATATAATTACAAAAATCAAAAATTTATAATTTCTATTTGTTTAATACGTTATTAAGTTAAAAGGCTACGATTCTATTTTTCCTAATTTAGAAAGAGCAATACAAATATGAAAATTTGATCAAGAAAATTATATTTTTGCTACAATTATATGACGATTTACTCATATAATTTTACAGCAATAAAAAGATAAAACAAAAAGATTGTAAATTTTTAGAATTTTTAGTTTAAATTGATAATCAAAAAGTATTTGCTGTATCATAAAATAATTATTTTTTAGATGATTTAAAAAAATAAATTATGCCTTTATGACCAATCAAATTGGTTTTATGATAGATTGATAAATATATTAGAAATTTATTTATCTAAACTTTTACTTTGATCAAATTAAGTGAAAGAAATATACTAACAAATAAAAAAGGAAGGGAAAAAAATTAATTACTTTTTACTATCTTATTATTCACTGATATAGTTTTGATTATTACTTTATAACTTAAAAGTATAAAATTATATACCATCAGTTCTTATTAATAAATTAAAGAGCATGCAAAGTAAAGTACATATTTTTTTTGTTTTTAAAGTCCGATTATATTATGTTTTACCCTGCTTAAAAATAATAGATTGAAAAAAAGTAATTATAATATATTTAATCAATAAATATTTAAAATTGAAATTAATTATTTATTATTTTATCATAAAAATCTTATAATTTTAATTTTCAAGTTTTAAAATACATTTTCGATATATTTTAAATTGTAAATATAATAAATATGTAAGTATTTTTAAAACAAGTATGTTTATGTAAATAATACAAAAAATTCAAAACATCCTTAATATTTGAATCTTTTTAATATAAATATAAATATTTTTTCTAACAACATCAGAAGTTGATGTATTAATTTATATTTTAAGATTTAAGTATTTAAAAGAAAAAATATAAAGAAACTTCTAGTTTTATCCTTATTTTTTTTTTAAAGATTTACTTTCGCTGATAAAAATAAACTAAATATAATGAGTATATAAATTGAGTATTACAAAACAGAATTATAATTTTTTATTATATAAATGAATTTTTTTTTTAACAAAAACGCCAAGCTAATTAGATTTCAGTTTATAAAGCTAGAATGGATTTTTCCATGATCTTTAACTAATTAATTAATTATTTATTTTATAATTTACTATCTTTATTTTACTAGTTAATTATTCTATTAACAAATAATATTATCTATTCTAGTATACAACTCTAGTAACTAACTAATCTTTACATTCATGAATCTAATTTAATTTATTAATACCATTTTTTATTTATATCCAAATAACTAATATGAATAACAAAAAAAATTGTGAGCAATTTCTAATAAAATCTGATAATATTCCATGATATAAAAAATTTATTGTTAACTGATTTTGAAATGCTATATTTTATTTTAGAATATTTAATATAAAATTTAACACAATTGAATAAAAATTTTTATATAGAATCTTTTATTACGTTTATCTTTTTTAATTTATTTAAATTCAAAAATATTGAATAAATTGTATAAAATATTTTAAATGAGTAAAATTGTTTATTATTTAAATTTATTAATTTGTATTTGAATTAGCTAAAACTGATTAATTTCCTAATAAATTAATTCTAGCTGTAAATTTAATAATTATATGAAGCAAACTTCAAAAATGGGTAATTTTTTTTGTATTTTTAACATTATTATGCAAATAATAATACAAATTAATAACAAATAAAATATTTTTTAAAATATTAGTTATCTTTAAAATGTTATAAAACATTTTTTTATATTATAAACAAAAAAACCTTATTCAGTAGAGGTTTGCATACTGATCTAAGATATATATAAAACATTCTATTGAAAAACTATAAAAAAGAAGTTAGTTTGTGTGAAAAATAGAAGAATCTATTTTATTTAATTTTTCATTCAGAAAACTCCCTTTTATACCGTTATCTCGTTATCTGGTTATTTATTATTGTTTTGTAAGCAAATAAAAAAAATAATGTTTTTGATTCTTAATATTAATTGCGTTTAATTATCAATTTACATTATAATTAGATTTTATTAGTAGGAAAAGTGCTGAATTAGTTAAATAATTATGTCATTATTGAGCTGATTAATAGTTTAAAATAAATTATCAACATTTTGAAAAGCATATAATTCTAATAACTAAGTTAGTTTAGTTTTGTAAATTGAATTAATTTTTTACATTGATAACTATAATCTTTTAAAATAAATAATAATTACTCTTGTTGTTGTAAATTAAAACTTATTCAAGTAAACAAAAATTTAATTTGGTTCAAATTTTGTGAATTTTCTTTATAGGTTAATTATTATTATTATTTGTAAAAAGTATTGATACTAACTGTCCTTCCTCTTAAACCCACACTTCTAAATAAATAACTATTTTTGATGATATGACAAACTTAACTCCTCAATCACAAATAAATAAATACCTAAATAATAAATATGAATGTTGAGATCTTGAAGTATGTACTTTAATTATGTTTTTATATTTTTAAGTTATGCTTTAAGAGATTAATATTATTTAATTAGATATTCAAGAAATAAGTAAATATTATAATTAAATCAAAGTTTTAAATTCAAATTAGATAAGTATTTTTTTATAAATAAATTCGCAGCTTAGATATTTTTAAATATTTTTATTTACTCATGTTCTTTTTATTTCTTAATTTAGATCATTATCAATTTAATATTTTCTAAAAAAGGAATAAATTTCATAGAATTTTATTTCGAAGATTCATCTTAAAAATTGTTAAGAGATGACATATTTTAAATTAATAGTGTACAATGAAGGCCTTGAAGAAAATAGTACATCTAATTAATAAAGTAAAAAAATAAATCTAATTTAAGATAAATAATTAACTACATTTAATTAAATAAATAAATATACAAAAAGTTCTGAAAGATAGTTCTAATACCAACCTTAAAAAAAAGTAAACATGTCATTGTAAAATGCAGGACATCGTTCAAAAAAATTTGCAAAAAAAATAAATACACTTAATAAACTATAACATAAGAAGATTAAACCATAATTTAAAATAGTAAACACAAAAACTCAGTAAACGATAAAATAAACTGAAAATATATCATATCCCAATCAAAATGACTAATTTCAATAAACAAATAATAATAATAATATTAGACAGTAAGAAAGCAATAATTCCTTAGATCTTAGTTGATTAGAAAACATTTATTTGCTTAATATTTTTTTAACAATATTATTCTATTTTAATCATATAATACCTTAAAAAGATGATATTTTTGTT